CTGACTGTGTGCTGCCTGACTGCTGGTGTTTGCTGTCTGACTGCTGGTGTGTGCTGCCTGACTGCTGGTGTGTGCTGCCTGACTGCTGGTGTGTGCTGTCTGACTGCTGGTGTGTGCTGTCTGACTGCTGGTGTGTGCTGCCTGACTGTGTGCTGCCTGACTGCTGGTGTGTGCTGCCTGACTGCTGGTGTGTGCTGTCTGACTGCTGGTGTGTGCTGCCTGCCTGCTGCCTGACTGCTGGTGTGTGTTGCCTGACTGCTGGTGTGTGCTGCCTGACTGCTGGTGTGTGCTGCCTGACTGCTGGTGTGTGCTGTCTGACTGCTGGTGTGTGCTGTCTGACTGCTGGTGTGTGCTGTCTGACTGCTGGTGTGTGCTGTCTGACTGCTGGTGTGTGCTGCCTGACTGCTGCCTGACTGCTGGTGTGTGTTGCCTGACTGTGTGCTGCCTGACTGTTGGTGTGTGCTGCCTGACTGCTGGTGTGTGCTGCCTGACTGCTGGTGTGTGCTGTCTGACTGTGTGCTGCCTGACTGCTGGTGTGTGTTGCCTGACTGCTGGTGTGTGCTGTCTGACTGCTGGTGTGTGTTGCCTGACTGTGTGCTGCCTGAGTGCTGGTGTGTGCTGTCTGACTGTGTGCTGCCTGACTGCTGGTGTGTGTTGCCTGACTGCTGGTGTGTGCTGTCTGACTGCTGGTGTGTGTTGCCTGACTGTGTGCTGCTTGACTGCTGGTGTGTGCTGTCTGACTGCTGGTGTGTGCTGTCTGACTGCTGGTGTGTGTTGCCTGACCGTGTGCTGCCTGACTGCTGGTGTGTGCTGTCTGACTGCTGGTGTGTGCTGCCTGACTGTGTGCTGCCTGACTGCTGGTGTGTGTTGCCTGACTGCTGGTGTGTGCTGCCTGACTGCTGGTGTGTGCTGCCTGACTGCTGGTGTGTGCTGTCTGACTGCTGGTGTGTGCTGCCTGACTGCTGGTGTGTGCTGCCTGACTGCTGGTGTGTGCTGCCTGACTGCTGGTGTGTGCTGCCTGACTGCTGGTGTGTACTGTCTGACTGCTGGTGTGTGCTGCCTGACTGCTGGTGTGTGCTGTCTGACTGCTGGTGTGTGCTGCCTGACTGCTGGTGTGTGTTGCCTGACTGCTGGTGTGTGCTGTCTGACTGTGTGCTGCCTGACTGCTGGTGTTTGCTGTCTGGCTGCTGGTGTGTGCTGCCTGACTGCTGGTGTGTGCTGCCTGACTGCTGGTGTGTGCTGTCTGACTGTGTGCTGCCTGACTGCTGGTGTTTGCTGTCTGACTGCTGGTGTGTGTTGCCTGACTGTGTGCTGCCTGACTGCTGGTGTGTGCTGCCTGACTGCTGGTGTGTGCTCCCTGACTGCTGGTGTGTGCTGTCTGACTGCTGGTGTGTGCTGCCTGACTGCTGGTGTGTGCTGTCTGACTGCTAGTGTGTGCTGCCTGACTGCTGGTGTGTGTTGCCTGACTGCTGGTGTGTGCTGTCTGACTGTGTGCTGCCTGACTGCTGGTGTTTGCTGTCTGACTGCTGGTGTTTGCTGTCTGACTGCTGGTGTGTGCTGCCTGACTGCTGGTGTGTGCTGTCTGACTGCTGGTGTGTGCTGCCTGACTGCTGGTGTGTGTTGCCTGACTGCTGGTGTGTGCTGTCTGACTGCTGGTGTGTGGTGTCTGACTGCTGGTGTGTGCTGCCTGACTGCTGGTGTGTGCTGTCTGACTGCTGGTGTGTGCTGTCTGACTGCTGGTGTGTGCTGCCTGACTGCTGGTGTGTGTTGCCTGACTGCTGGTGTGTGCTGTCTGACTGCTGGTGTGTGCTGTCTGACTGCTGGTGTGTGCTGCCTGACTGCTGGTGTGTGCTGCCTGACTGCTGGTTTGTGCTGTCTGACTGTTGGTGTGTGCTGCCTGACTGCTGGTGTGTGCTGTCTGACTGCTGGTGTGTGCTGCCTGACTGCTGGTGTGTGCTGCCTGACTGCTGGTGTGTGCTGTCTGACTGTTGGTGTGTGCTGCCTGACTGCTGGTGTGTGCTGTCTGACTGCTGGTGTGTGCTGTCTGACTGCTTGTGTGTGCTGTCTGACTGCTGGTGTGTGCTGCCTGACTGCTGGTGTGTGTTGCCTGACTGCTGGTGTGTGCTGTCTGACTGTGTGCTGCCTGACTGCTGGTGTTTGCTGTCTGGCTGCTGGTGTGTGCTGCCTGACTGCTGGTGTGTGCTGCCTGACTGCTGGTGTGTGCTGTCTGACTGTGTGCTGCCTGACTGCTGGTGTTTGCTGTCTGACTGCTGGTGTGTGTTGCCTGACTGTGTGCTGCCTGACTGCTGGTGTGTGCTGCCTGACTGCTGGTGTGTGCTCCCTGACTGCTGGTGTGTGCTGTCTGACTGCTGGTGTGTGCTGCCTGACTGCTGGTGTGTGCTGTCTGACTGCTAGTGTGTGCTGCCTGACTGCTGGTGTGTGTTGCCTGACTGCTGGTGTGTGCTGTCTGACTGTGTGCTGCCTGACTGCTGGTGTTTGCTGTCTGACTGCTGGTGTTTGCTGTCTGACTGCTGGTGTGTGCTGCCTGACTGCTGGTGTGTGCTGTCTGACTGCTGGTGTGTGCTGCCTGACTGCTGGTGTGTGTTGCCTGACTGCTGGTGTGTGCTGTCTGACTGCTGGTGTGTGGTGTCTGACTGCTGGTGTGTGCTGCCTGACTGCTGGTGTGTGCTGTCTGACTGCTGGTGTGTGCTGTCTGACTGCTGGTGTGTGCTGCCTGACTGCTGGTGTGTGTTGCCTGACTGCTGGTGTGTGCTGTCTGACTGCTGGTGTGTGCTGTCTGACTGCTGGTGTGTGCTGCCTGACTGCTGGTGTGTGCTGCCTGACTGCTGGTTTGTGCTGTCTGACTGTTGGTGTGTGCTGCCTGACTGCTGGTGTGTGCTGTCTGACTGCTGGTGTGTGCTGCCTGACTGCTGGTGTGTGCTGCCTGACTGCTGGTGTGTGCTGTCTGACTGTTGGTGTGTGCTGCCTGACTGCTGGTGTGTGCTGCCTGACTGCTGGTGTGTGCTGTCTGACTGCTGGTGTGTGCTGCCTGACTGCTGGTGTGTGCTGCCTGAATGCTGGTGTGTGCTGTCTGAATGCTGGTGTGTGTTGCCTGACTGCTGGTGTGTGCTGTCTGACTGTGTGCTGCCTGACTGCTGGTGTGTGCTGTCTGACTGCTGGTGTGTGCTGTCTGACTGCTGGTGTGTGCTGCCTGACTGCTGGTGTGTGCTGTCTGACTGCTGGTGTGTGCTGCCTGACTGCTGGTGTGTGCTGCCTGACTGCTGGTGTGTGCTGCCTGAATGCTGGTGTGTGCTGTCTGACTGCTGGTGTGTGCTGCCTGACTGCTGGTGTGTGCTGCCTGAATGCTGGTGTGTGCTGCCTGACCGCTTGTGTGTGCTGTCTGACTGATGGTGTGTGCTGTCTGACTGCTGGTGTTTGCTGCCTGAATGCTGGTGTGTGCTGTCTGACTGATGGTGTGTGCTGCCTGACTGCTGGTGTGTGCTGTCTGACTGCTGGTGTGTGCTGCCTGAATGCTGGTGTGTGCTGTCTGACTGCTGGTGTGTGCTGCCTGACTGCTGGTGTGTGCTGTCTGACTGTGTGCTGCCTGACTGCTGGTGTGTGCTGTCTGACTGATGGTGTGTGCTGCCTGACTGCTGGTGTGTGCTGCCTGAATGCTGGTGTGTGCTGTCTGAATGCTGGTGTGTGCTGCCTGACTGCTGGTGTTTGCTGTCTGACAGCTGGTGTGTGCTGCCTGACTGCTGGTGTGTGTTGCCTGAATGCTGGTGTGTGCTGTCTGACTGCTGGTGTGTGCTGTCTGACTGTGTGCTGCCTGACTGCTGGTGTGTGCTGTCTGACTGCTGGTGTGTGCTGTCTGACTGCTGGTGTTTGCTGTCTGACTGCTGGTGTGTGCTGCCTGACTGCTGGTGTGTGCTGCCTTAATGCTGGTGTGTGCTGTCTGACTGTGTGCTGCCTGACTGCTGGTGTGTGCTGTCTGAATGCTGGTGTGTGCTGCCTGACTGCTGGTGTGTGCTGTCTGACTGCTGGTGTGTGCTGTCTGACTGCTGGTGTTTGCTGTCTGACTGCTGGTGTGTGCTGCCTGACTGCTGGTGTGTGCTGCCTTAATGCTGGTGTGTGCTGTCTGACTGTGTGCTGTCTGACTGCTGGTGTGTGCTGTCTGAATGCTGGTGTGTGCTGCCTGACTGCTGGTGTGTGCTGCCTGACTGCTGGTGTGTGCTGTCTGACTGTGTGCTGTCTGACTGATGGTGTGTGCTGCCTGACTGCTGGTGTATGCTGCCTGAATGCTGGTGTGTGCTGTCTGACTGCTGGTGTGTGCTGCCTGACTGCTGGTGTGTGCTGTCTGACTGTGTGCTGCCTGACTGCTGGTGTGTGCTGTCTGACTGATGGTGTGTGCTGCCTGACTGCTGGTGTGTGCTGCCTGAATGCTGGTGTGTGCTGTCTGACTGCTGGTGTGTGCTGCCTGACTGCTGGTGTTTGCTGTCTGACTGCTGGTGTGTGCTGCCTGACTGCTGGTGTGTGCTGCCTGACTGCTGGTGTGTGCTGTCTGACTGCTGGTGTGTGCTGTCTGACTGTGTGCTGCCTGACTGCTGGTGTGTGCTGTCTGACTGCTGGTGTGTGCTGTCTGACTGCTGGTGTTTGCTGTCTGACTGCTGGTGTGTGCTGCCTGACTGCTGGTGTGTGCTGCCTGAATGCTGGTGTGTGCTGTCTGACTGCTGGTGTGTGCTGCCTGACTGCTGGTGTGTGCTGCCTGAATGCTGGTGTGTGCTGTCTGACTGCTGGTGTGTGCTGCCTGACTGCTGGTGTGTGCTGTCTGAATGCTGGTGTGTGCTGCCTGACTGCTGGTGTTTGCTGTCTGACTGATGGTGTGTGCTGCCTGACTGCTGGTGTGTGCTGTCTGACTGCTGGTGTGTGCTGTCTGACTCCTGGTGTGTGCTGCCTGACTGCTGGTGTGTGCTGTCTGACTGCTGGTGTGTGCTGTGTACCTTCTCCAGGTCAGCAACATGGGTCAAGCCCTCCCCATGCAAATTGATCTCATACACTCGGTTGTAGTCTCGCTCCTGGCACTGCTCCAACTGGTGAAATAGACACAACAATGTGACTGACAGCTTACACTTCAATTTACATGTGAAACTGAACATAACAAAATGGTAACAACTGGCCCTGTAGCATCACAAAAAAATGATAAAAAAGTTGTCATCCACACATTGTTTATAGTGTTTACACTACCAACTTCTAAATGCCAATAAAAGACTTTTAAAAACTTCTACTGAGTCTTATTTTATAGCATATTCAAGACATCATTTAAAACTCATAAGGATAGAAATTATCAAAAACAATTTGCCAGATGGGTGCTAGAATACTTACAATTTCTTCAGGTTCTACTGTCTTTTTGGGGCGATCATCTTTTTCCTCTTCTTCAGATGCGTGTGACCTCGTGCGAGAAGAGCCCCTCCGTGATGACCCAATACATGAAGACCTACTTCTTGATGACCCAAGACGGGAAGACATAGATCTTGAAGATCCCTGTCTTGAATTAGTATTACTTGATAACTTGGGATCTCCATCCTCAGCATCAGAAAAATCAAGGTTAGTGGAGGTCAGGGATGAAGTGCGTGACAGTGGCTGTCTGCTTGCAACTGATGTTCCTGATCCTGCTCTCCTGACAACTCCTCCACCACTGCAAAACGAATAAGTAAACTTTATAACTAGAGTAAAAAAAGGTATTGAAAACTAGTTAAATATCATGTATATGAACATTCATCATGCACTGGAGTTCACAGGAAGCAGAATGTTGAAAGATCAATTCTCATAAAACATCCAACTTGAAAATTATTTCAATTTTTCTTGTAAGCATTGGTCAGTATACTCTGACCTCATGGTACTGCAGCCTTCATCTTAACGCTGCATTTGTGATTTCCGGTAGTTCAGACGGGACACGCCTCTTAGCAACCGTCTTTTAATGCAAATCAGAAACCAGGAAGTGCTCGCTTCGCAAACAATTTTAATTTCCTCGGAAAGTTCTGTCTGCTGTAAGTAAGGAGCCATTAACGCGTTGATACTTACTTCAGGCATCGTTTTACTATTGCCTTACCTCTATCTATCAATGGCCAACGATATAACCCGCAGTTTCCCTAGGAAATTTTCTCTATCGACCTGACCTAGATCATCTGCATATTCATAGCGACTAATAAGATAACAGAAGTTACATAGTCCACTAATTTTTCCCCCGCTCTGTGTTGATAATCTATTAGGAGATCATAAGGGCCATAATGCCATACTTAGAAATATGTTCTGCACTAGTAGCCAAAAGATAGGACCGCCTCCGTGGTCTTGTGGTAGAGCGTCTGCCCGGAGAGCGGAAGGTCCAGGGTTCGATCCCGGGCCGCGTCATACAAAAAGACGTTAAAAGATTGTACTTGTTGTTACCCTGTCTGGCGCTCGGCATTAAGGGGCTAAAACAAGGACTGGTCGGCTCGGAGTCAGTATACTGTGTCTGAGTGGGGTATTCATGTTAAACTGCGGCATGGTATCTCAGTGAGCTAGCACTATAAATCGGCATCAGTCCGGACTAGTACAAGCAGCCACACACACACATACACGTGCATGCACGTCGCTATATAAGTGCAATAATCTTGGACGCGACGTTAAACCCAATTTCACCTCACCTCACACCAAAAGATAGATATATACTTTGGGCATACCAGGAGTGCTTTTTTTTTATTTATTGTTGACTTTTAACATTTTTCCCTTCTTTTTTTTTAAATTTTGGCATCCAATTCATTTCTGATATTTTGTTGTTGATTTTTTTATTTTATATTTCTCTTACTTTTCGGTAAATATGCAATACTTATTACTGATAACACATTTAGAATTTTACTTGTGCTGTCTTTACACTTGTCTGGACAAATCACTGAAGTACGGCATCATCATACTAAGTGGTTGGTAGAATTATGTCCCGTTTTTGTTCAATTCACACCTTCATACACAACTTTTCCCTGTGCCGCAATACAATGGAGTTCTCTCCCTTGTCAAACTGAGCGAGAGGCCGAGCTTTTACTCGGCACTACTAATGTAAACAATGAACTTTTATCAATAAAATATGCATTGTTAGAACACAAATAATCATAAAGGTTAGTGGGTGCATTTTGTTCCGTTTAGCGTACATAACAAGTACCACGATACCCCAAGGTTGCAAGCTTTTTACTGTAAATAGTGTTTACAGACGTACATGTGAGTGATCACTGGAACTGAAGCACAGTGGTAAGTCTGGTGTTGGAGCTGGCAGACATACCTCTGATATGATGAGAGTCTAAACCAACTAGTCCCTCTCCGGGCAGCACATACTTCAAGCATCTTACATGTAAGCACTGACCACACTAAACAATAAACATAAGGCTGATTTACTACGTGGGACCCAGCTAACTGTGTCATTGTTCTCTGACATTGTGGATCATTGTTAATTCCATAATCCACCGCACTGACTGGTCAAGACTCGGTTATTTTCAGACTACTGTGATCTACCTGGAGTGAGAGAAAAATCATGTCTAATGAAGTGTCATAAAATCACCCAATCTTTACACTTAAAAAGACATGGGACGTCATGCAATAATTATAAAAATAATGCAGAGGATCCCTCCTCACCATCACCATGTTTCGGTTCAGTCACGCCCTGCACGTGTACCCTGGCGACACTCAGTAGCCTAGTTGTTAACGTACGTTACATGGCCCGACTCACTGAAACAGCATTTCAGATATCTTAATGTTCTTCCTTAAACTTTCTTTCTATGTCTACTACTATTATGGATTGGCATTTTTATCAAGTGGAGGCGATACCAGTCAGACTTTGGTTTAGTCAAGAGTATTCAGACTAGTACTAACTAGGCTATAGCAGTGGCGATCAGTACTCAGTTTTGCTCACCTCGATGGAGCTTTCCTTGTCGCACGTGGTCTTGGATCAACAGGCAGAACCCCGACCTGTCGCCCGATTGTATTTGTCAAAGATCCAGCAACCCGTGCTTTCAAGTTCTTATTCATGGTACTATCATCTTTGAAAACACATTCCGAGTTTACAGTATTCGTTTTTGTTTACGCGGTGCTAGGAAGCCATCTTGGAATTCCAACAAGGGACATAACTCTACCAAGAGTAATTCAGACCGTTAAAAGTGTATCTTGTGTTTACTCAAGTAATTGTCAAATGGGCGAAACAGACGATAGTGATAGATATTTGTTAATTCTGAAATCGATACGTAGATAAAGATTGTTTTAATTCATGTTACTTCTACATTATAGAGTAAGGGTAAACCATTCATGTATACAGTTCATGAAACAGTATTAATATTGTCATCCGCTTTACTTCAACCATATTTGTCAGTAACACAAAATATAAATAATGGCAATATATGAACATCTTCCCGAGGCAAGGGAGTTAACTCACTACAAAAATCCAGTTGTCCCTTAAATTTCAACCAGATGCATAACACAAAACACAATTAATAATGACATCTGAAGGGAGACAGTTAAACGGTAAAATGTTGTTTTTTAACAAACACACAAGAATTATCCTTCACAGTGAACTTGGTATAACACTGTCTCCACCTCGAGTGTCGCGGCATGTAGAGTCTCGCGGCATGGTGAACAATGATATCAGTCAGTGATGCAGTTATCTCCAGGTAGGGCGACATTGCTCTCTGAGTCGCAGACAGTATGTCTAACCATCAGTGTTGTTATCTAATTCGTGCAGATTGCGCTGTGCTGAACACAAGCCAGTCCATCAGTGTTTGTTTGTTTGTTTGTTTGTTTGTTTGTTGGCTAACGCCGCACTCAGCAATATTCCAGCTATATGACGGCGGTCTTTAAATAATCCTGTCTGGACCAGACAGTTGAGTGATTGACATCATGAGCATCGATCCACGCAACTGGGATAAGATGACATGCATCAACCAAGTCATGGAGCCTGAGCACCCGATCCCGCAGGTCGCCTCTTACGACAAGCAGAGTTGCCACTAACGGAAAGCATGGGTGGCTGAAGACCTATTCTGTACCCGGATTTTCACGGGTCTACTGAGTATGAGTGCGTATAGTTTTACGTCGCTTTTATTAATATCACGGCGGGGAACATCATAAATGGGCTTCACACATTGCACCCATATGGGGAATCGAACCCGAGTCATCGGCGTGACGAGCGAACGCTTCAGCCACTAGGCTACCCCGCCGCCATGTTATACTTACTGAAGATGACGGGGACATCGTTCCCCTGGCCTTTCTCCCAGGCCGTTAGAGGTGCGAGGGGGATCACGTGACCTGCAATGACAAAGGAAGAATGACGTGACTGCCTGGTCTATCCACGTGTGAGGTGATGGTGTTGGCAGGTGTGGTCTGTACGATGGGTGTATAATAACTTACAACATATCACGGTACTAGCTGAGTCGTATCAATGAAACAAACGCATTATGTATCATGCATTCAGTGGAGAGAGGGGCACAAACCTAATGTGGAATAGAAAGGAAGACAGGGCTAATGTGGAATGGAGAGAGGGAGACAGGGCTAATGTGGAATGGAGAGAGGGAGACAGGGCTAATGTGGAATGGTGAGAGGGAGACAGGGCTAATGTGGAATGGAGAGAGGGAGACAGGGCTAATGTGGAATGGAGAGAGGGAGACAGGGCTAATGTGGAATGGAGAGAGGGAGACAGGGCTAATGTGGAATGGAGAGAGGGAGACAGGGCTAATGTGGAATGGAGAGAGGGAGACAGGGCTAATGTGAAATGGAGAGAGGGAGACAGGGCTAATGTGGAATGGAGAGAGGGAGACAGGGCTAATGTGGAATGGAGAGAGGGAGACAGGGCTAATGTGGAATAGAGAGAGGGAGACAGGGCTAATGTGTCATTACAAATACACATTCTTTTTCATCATGTACAATAGACAGTTCTTACATACATATTGACAAAATACATAGAATTTTCATCCACATTTACAATTTTTTCAACGATATGGACAACAAGCATTTACAAGCCAGTTATATAAGAAACTGCATTAGCATACTCATAAATATTGACAAAAGATATACAGTACGTATTTGATTATCTGTTAAACCTTCTTGTACATTAGTTGAAGGAAAGCCGAGACTACTTCTATTCAACCACATATCCTAGCAGCGCCGGAACGAAGCCAAGTCAGCCCAGCCAACACTGACACAGGCTATCACACAAGAGAGGTATTCGGTTTGGCAAGTCGTTGTGCAAGAGCAAGATCTTTCATTTTTCTGTTTTTTAGGGCTCCAAGCCGAAAGGCTGGAAGCCCTATTGTAATCGTTCGATTTATTATTTATTATTATTTATTATTCCGCCGATTTTTGTACCAGCGCTAGCAAAATAAACACTGGCCAGATTTTGTTCAAATTTTGTGTGTGTATGGAGACCTTTGAGTACTAGATTCCCCCAAAAACTCAAGTCCATAGGCCCAAAGGACAAGGGCAGATAACTGAAAAACAAGTATTTTTGGACGATATATTTTGCCCTGCTGCTCCACAACCGTTTGTCCGTTTACTTTCAAACGTTGTATGTATCTGCTGCTTCAGTTTTTTGACATTGTTTGTTCTTTGACTTTGGTCATTGGTCACATGGTTTGGCAGCCATATTGGATTTAAGGTTTTCACAGGGTTTTGGGGGTACCTGTCTTCAAATACTATCTCCTCTGAATCCACTGCATGAAATGCTTTCAAACTTTCTGAGAATTGTCTCCATACAGAACACAACAAATAGCCATAGCCGTTTTTGGATATCTTTTTTAGTTGTGGCCATATTGGATTTAAGGTTTTCACAGGGTTTTTTGGGTACCTGTCTTCAAATACTATCTCCTCTGAATCCACTGCATGAAATGCTTTCAATCTTTCTGAGAATTGTCTCCATACAGAACACAACAAATTGCCATAGCCGTTTTTTGATATCTTTCTTGGTGACGGCGCTACTGGATTTTGATTTTGATGATTTCTTTCACCGAATTTTTACTTTATACAAAGATCATATCTTGTAAGGTTCTCCACAGAAACCATTGAAAGTTCACATGAAGTTAGTCGGACATATGTACATGATATTTTGTTCTTGGTTGCATGCTAAAAGTAACACCACTTGGTGGTAATATTGACAAAATACCGAATACATCGCTCAGAAAACTTAGGGTTATTTCCCTTCGAACCGTCAAGTGTCTTTTGCAATATGTATACTAACCTTGAAGATGAGGGTTAGAATTGGTCTTCAGCAACCCATGCTTGTCTGAAGAGGCGCTTATCGGGATTCGAACATTGTCTTGGTGGTAAATGGGTTTAGAAAACACTGGCTAACTCTGGCACACACCAATTTCGTAGCGGTGATGTCCTGCAAACGGTGACTATCTTTTGCATGAGTTGGTACAAGCAAACCATATGCGGATTCGAACATGGTCGAAGTCAAACATGGGTTAAGAACACACTGGGACATATGTGGTGATGTCTCACAAGCAGTTCATTACATTTGACGGCGTTGGTACAGGCAAACCATTTGAGGATTCGAACATGGTCGAAGTCAAACATGGGTTAAGAACACACTGGGACATATGTGGTGATGTCTCACAAGCAGATCATTACATTTGACGGCGTTGGTACAGGCAAACCATTTGAGGATTCGAACATGGTCGAAGTCAAACATGGGTTAAGAACACACTGGGACATATGTGGTGATGTCTCACAAGCAGTTCATTACATTTGACGGCGTTGGTACAGGCAAACCATTTGAGGATTCGAACATGGTCGAAGTCAAACATGGGTTAAGAACACACGGGGACATATGTGGTGATGTCTCACAAGCAGTTCATTACATTTGACGGCGTTGGTACAGGCAAACCATTTGAGGATTCGAACATGGTCGAAGTCAAACATGGGTTAAGAACACACTGGGACATATGTGGTGATGTCTCACAAGCAGTTCATTACGTTTGACGGCGTTGGTACAGGCAAACCATTTGAGGATTCGAACATGGTCGAAGTCAAACATGGGTTAAGAACACACTGGGACATATGTGGTGATGTCTCACAAGCAGATCATTACATTTGACGGCGTTGGTACAGGCAAACCATTTGAGGATTCGAACATGGTCGAAGTCAAACATGGGTTAAGAACACACTGGGACATATGTGGTGATGTCTCACAAGCAGTTCATTACATTTGACGGCGTTGGTACAGGCAAACCATTTGAGGATTCGAACATGGTCGAAGTCAAACATGGGTTAAGAACACACTGGGACATATGTGGTGATGTCTCACAAGCAGTTCATTACATTTGACGGCGTTGGTACAGGCAAACCATCTGAGGATTCGAACATGGACGAGGTCGAAAAATCAGGTTTAGCACTTTATCTCAGCAATACGACATAAACCCGGGGCCCCGACGAACTCAGAACGCTCATCCATTTGACTAGAGCTCAACTGATAAAGAAGTTACAGCCTGTTAAAGAGTCACCAAGCCGAAAAGCTGAAGAGTCCCAGTGCTATCGTTCGATTTAATATTATTATTATTCAGCCGATTTTTGTACCAGAGCTAGCATAATAACCACTGTCTCGATTCCGTTCAAATTTTGTATGTGTATCCAGATACATATGTACCAGATACCACACAAACTCCAAGGCCGTAGGCCCAAAGACCAAGGGCAGATAACCGAAAAATAAGCAATTTTTAAAGCTATATTTAGCCCTATTGCTTCGCAACCGCTTGTCCAATTACTTTCAAACTTAAGATGTGTCTGCTGCTTTTGGTGCTTGACATTTGATGTTCTTTGACTTTGGTCATTGGTCACGTGGTTTGGCAGCCATATTGGATTCAAGGTTTTCACAGTGTCATTTGGGTACCTGTTTTTAAATGCATACTCTTCTGAATCCATTGCATGAAATGTTTCAAACTTTCTGAGAATGGTCTCCTTACATAGCACATCAAACTCTGTTAGCCGATTTTGGACATCTTTTATAGCGGCGGACCTATTGGATTTTGATTTTGATCATTTTTTTCACCAAAACTTTACTTTGAAGATCACATCTTGTAAGGTTCTCCACAGAAACTATTGAAAGTTTTCATGAAGTTAGTGTGCCATATGCATCTTATTGTTTGTTCTTGGTTGCATGCTAAAAGTAACACCTTTGGTGTTAATATTTGATTAACATTTGGGACACCCCTTGAGCACGCCAATTTCATTGAGGCGATTTCCGATGACTATTTCTTTAAGGAATTGGTACAAGCAAACCTTAAATGGTTTCGAACATGTCCGAGGTCGGAAAATGGGTTAAGAACAGACTTGGATACTCCGGCACACGACAATTTCGTAGCGGCGATACCCTACAAGTGGTGCCTACATTTCACGGATTTGGTACAAGGAAACCCTTTGAGGCTTCGAACATGGACGTTTGTGCACAGTATAGCTTGGAGCCCGCCATTGCTGCTTTGCAGCTATATTTTAAATTGTCATTGTTGTAAAAGGCTTCGTGAACACTTGGACTGTAAACATAGTGTCCATGTATTCCATGAAACCAATGGCTGCGACACTTGCACCAATAACAATATTGACTTTAGTTTTCCTTCGAGGGACCGATAGCATACAACAGATGGGGAGATCCCTGGCCACAGCTGTAACCAGTCCAACTGTGATGACTGAGTGCGGTCTAGTCAAGGGGAGTCTGAACCGCCTGTAAACCAGAACCGGTGGAAGGCCCCAGCACCCCTCAGCAACGTCACGGGCACCTGCTGGTCGGGAACCTATGACGCGACTACATTCGGGGCACAGTGTGTGCAGCCATTTAGCTTTGATAATTACAACCAATCGCTTGGAAGTGAAGACTGTCTATATCTCAACGTCTGGTCGCCATCTTTAGACGTAAGTGACAGCCTGCCTGTCATGGTGTGGTTCCACGGCGGCAATCTCGTGTTTGGTAATGGTAGTATAAGTGGGTACTCGCCGAATCCAGAGCTAGCCAAGGATTTACAATTTGTGTTCGTCAGCATGAACTTTCGACTCGGACCATTGGGGTTTATGACCCTTGACCTCCTCAGCAAGGCATCCGACACGGGGACATCTGGGAACTACGGTTTCATGGACCAGATTCAGGTCTTGAAGTGGATTCAGTCTAATATCAGGAATTTTGGGGGTGACCCAAACAAGGTAAATTCTGTGACTGAAGATATGATTCCCACCCGGTTAACTGGTATGTAATGACCCGAATATCTCAGTTCACTTTGGCAATTAGCAACAAGGTTCTTGTATTTCAGGTTACCCTGTTTGGCCACAGCTCCGGTGGCACCAGTGTCTTCGGTCTTTTAGCTTCCCTCCCAGCAAAAGGACTGTTCCATCGCGCATGGGTAATGAGTGCTTCCGCCATCCTGAACAAGACGTCATCAGAGGCGTCACGTGATAATCTAGAAGTCCTGAAGACTTCCGGATGCACAGACATTCAGTGCCTCCTAGGTCTAAGCGTTGAAGATGTGATGCAGGCTAGCCCTTGGACAGTCTACCCGACGTGGGCTATGACGGACAATACAGACCTCCCCTCTAGAAGGGTGTTTGATGGTGCTCTGGCTGTTGTTGATGGTATGTGGATGCCTAGTAAAGATGTCTGCCTCTCTCTCTATTCCACATTTGGTCTGCACCCCACCCCGTCTCTCTCTCTCTCTCTCTCTCTCTCCCTCTCTCTCCATTCCACATTAGGTCTGCACCCCGACCCACCCCCTCTCCATTCCACATTAGCCCTGTCTCCCTCTCTCCATTCCACATTAGCCCTGTCTCCCTCTCTCCATTCCACATTAGCCCTGTCTCCCTCTCTCCATTCCACATTAGCCCTGTCTCCCTCTCTCCATTCCACATTAGCCCTGTCTCCCTCTCTCCATTCCACATTAGCCCTGTCTCCCTCTCTCCATTCCACATTAGCCCTGTCTCCCTCTCTCCATTCCACATTAGCCCTGTCTCCCTCTCTCCATTCCACATTAGCCCTGTCTCCCTCTCTCCATTCCACATTAGCCCTGTCTCCCTCCCTCCATTCCACATTAGCCCTGTCTCCCTCTCTCCATTCCACATTAGCCCTGTCTCCCTCTCTCCATTCCACATTAGCCCTGTCTCCCTCTCTCCATTCCACATTAGCCCTGTCTTCCTTTCTATTCCACATTAGCCCTGTCTCCCTCCCTCCATTCCACATTAGCCCTGTCTCCCTCTCTCCATTCCACATTAGCCCTGTCTCCCTCTCACCATTCCACATTAGCCCTGTCTCCCTCTCTCCATTCCACATTAGCCCTGTCTCCCTCTCTCCATTCCACATTAGCCCTGTCTTCCTTTCTATTCCACATTCGGTTTGTGCCCCTCTCCCCACTGAATGCATGATACATAATGCGTTTGTTTCATTGATACGACTCAGCTAGTTCCGTGATATGTTGTAAGTTATTATACACCCATCGTACAGACCACACCTGCCAACACCATCACCTCACACGTGGATAGACCAGGCAGTCACGTCATTCTTCCTTTGTCATTGCAGGTCACGTGATCCCCATCGCACCTCTAACGGCCTGGGAGAAAGGCCAGGGGAACGATGTCCCCGTCATCTTCAGTAAGTATAACATGGCGGCGGGGTAGCCTAGTGGCTGAAGCGTTCGCTCGTCACGCCGATGACTCGGGTTCGATTCCCCATATGGGTGCAATGTGTGAAGCCCATTTATGATGTTCCCAGCCGTGATATTAATAAAAGCGACGTAAAACTATACGCACTCATACTCAGTAGACCCGTGAAAATCCGGGTACAGAATAGGTCTTCAGCCATCCATGCTTTCCGTTAGTGGCAACTCTGCTTGTCGTAAGAGGCGACCTGCGGGATCGGGTGGTCAGGCTCGATGACTTGGTTGATGCATGTCATCTTATCCCAGTTGCGTGGATCGATGCTCATGATGTCAATCACTGGATTGTCTAATCCAGACAGGATTATTTAAAGACCGCCGTCATATAGCTGGAATATTGCTGGGTGTTTTAAGCAACAAACAAACATACTCAGAAAGTATAACAGAGGGAAAACGGCGCGTCTTCAATAAAGTCCCGAGGAGTCCGTTTCCTCTCTGTTTCCTCATTTGTGAGCGACTCAGAGGTGGATGGACTGCACACGTCTTCGCCACCTGGCAACTACTAGTATCTTGTAATCCTGGCTTCCAGTTGTCCAACGCTATCACCTATCAGCGCCATTAACTGTTAGCTTCCCTTGTTAAGTTTGCACCTTTGTTATCTTATTACTTTTGTTGTTCTTACAGGTACATATATATGTTCTCTGCTTTATACAATTTATTTACCTGGCGAAGGAGTAAGTACATACTCCGAAACGTTGTGTACCTCATAATAAAGAAATTGACATCCATGAATTCTCTTCCTCAACTCTTTTTTACTTCTTTACGATCAGGAGCGGTGGGGTAGCCTTGTGGTTAAAACGTTCGCTCGTCACGCCGAAGACCCGGGTTCGATTCCCCATATGGGTACAATGTGCGCAGCCAAATTCTGGTGTACCCCACCATGACATAGCTGGAATATTGCTAAAAGCGGTGTTTAACCATACTCCCTCACTCTTTACGATCATAAACTGAACAACAAAAGTTCCTGTGACATTGAATAAGATTTAATGCAAAGTTATGTTTTTTTACCAAATCTGAAACAATTTCGGGTTGCAACAGATAAAAGACTCCTGTAAGTGTTCAAATGGTTTAATTTGCCATACTGAATTCAGAAAATGCGTGATTTCATAAAAAATAACATGAACATGTCAAAATGGCAATTTACAAATCAATAGCGTGTGTGTCCACCTCTGGTTGCAATGCAAGCAACACATCTTCGTCTCATGGAATGTGCCAGGCGTCGCACAAAATCCTGTGGGATATCTGTCCATATCTGCTTGAGCATGTTTCGACGTTTCTGGAGTGTCTGTGGAACACGTGGTTGACGTCGAAGGCGCCGATCCATCTCATCCCACATGTGCTCGATTGGTGAGAGATCAGGGGAGCGAGCCGGCCAGGGGATGACATTCACGTTGTTTTGTCCTGAACAAGTCGAGCAACATGAGGCCGGGCGTTGTCATGTTGAAAGGTAATGCCTGGGCCATGACGACGCAAAAACGGTAGAACAACAGGGCCGATGATCTCGTCGCGGTAGGGCTGTCATTTGAGATTTCCCTCTACCACTATCTAACGGGTCCTCAGTCTTGCTGTAATCCCATCCCATACCATAACGCTGCCGCCCCCGATCTTCTTCCATGATTGACGTAACGTTCACCTAGACGTCGGTACACTCGAATCCGTCCATCGCTGTGGCTTAGGTGAAAACGAGACTCATCAGTGAATAGAACTTGTCCACACTGCATGGTCGTGCAGCGTAGACGCTGTTTGCACCACTGTAGACGTGTTTGACGGTGGTTTCCTGTCAAAATGGGACGTCTGGCGGGTCTTCTGGCGACAATCCCTGCACATCTGAGGCGAGAACGTACGGTTTGTGAAGATATTCATCGAAGGCCAGGGATGCTTCTTGCAGTCATTCGAATCCAGTTGTCTTGTCGATTATTGGTTACGCGTGGCCTGCCACTCCGAGGATGGTCTCTGACTGCATTCGTCTATTGCCAACGTTGCCATAAACACCAAATGGTGTTTCTGTGGACGTTAAATTGTCTTGCAACATCACGTTGACTCGATCCTGCTTCAAGCATACCAATGGCTCGCAGACGCTCATTTTCGGACAAGCGTGGCATTTCGTAATGATGAATAATTGCGTAATTTTGTTGTTTTTCTGAGTGGTTGTTGTCAGCACGATGCTAAACAATGCATATGTTTTTATACCCATTCTTGGGTAGTGAAATGCATGGGGCTTGCATAAAAGTCAACTTTTGCATGGAATGCATGCTTTTCTGTAGCAGTTGCGTTTTTGTGACTTGATTCCATACATGTACTACAATACTGAAAACCAAACTTTACTTGTTTGAAAAATACACTAAAATATTGGTGTCACGGGAACTTTCGTTGTTGAGTATACATCACTGAGTTCCATGCACAAACAGTAAAATCAGGAGGGATATGTTTGATTTAGCCATCTTTTCCTCGGTTACCATTGCAGGTACCACTGGTCAAGAAGTGGACAGGTGGACAACGCCGGACATAGCCTCGTGGACATGGGACCAGTACAGGTCAGCCATCAGACGAAAACTCGCCTCGTTTGGGAGTCAGATCCCAGACAGATTGTTGGAGCTCTACCCTGAATCACATAATACCACACCAGAGCTCCAATACTCGGAGATGACCTCGGACCTGCGTGTCACGTGTCCAATTGACGTAGTAGCCGATGTTGCCGACAGCTATTTCAAGTCGTTGACCTACAGATGTGTGGTCACGCAGTGGCCCTCTCAGCGTGTCCCAGGCCACGGTAGATATTCCTATCACGGATGGGACTCCACAGCTTTTTTCGGAACAATAGATAAATTGATCCCCAAACCTTCCCAGTCTGACCTGGACTTAACTGCCAACTTACGTCGAGAAATATCCGCCTTTGTAAAGACCGGTGAACCAGCCTCCACGACGTGGAAACCGACGAAGATCAGCACAGCCCTGCTGGGGTCGACAACGACGGTGACTAACTTCTACCACCGAGACCAGTGCACCTTCCTGCTCCGGAACGGCTTCTTCTCCTACGCCTGGATCAACTGAACACCAAGGTCAAGGCTGTGACAATCCAATATAATGATTGATCATGTCTCCTTGATAACTAATCATTGACCTACGCCTTGACTTACATTCGGACCACAGCATGGCAAAATACACGACTCTTTATACAACCCTTGGGACAACGGACGCCTTGGCTCACACGTGGACCACAGCATGGCAAAATACATGACTCTCAATACAACCCTTCGGACAACTTCTCTGGACATGACAAATTTAGAGTTTCGGGATTCCCTTTCCGTTCCATTGGTAGAATAAATTGCTCTGTCAACATGCTTCGTTCCTTTACCTACAACCACCAACATAATGTCAGTATGCTATTCCTTGGCAGTAGTAGAGTGTGGTGGGATGTCTCACAAGATATCTTACCATATAGACCTCACATCTGTACAAAACCTCCTCCAAATATATGTTTGATCCATGCGAGTGAGGTTCATCTATAGCGAAGTGAACACCCAAAGCTACTGTCTTGTGAACTGACCAAGTAATCTTGTACTGTTCATCTGTGAAACAAACTAGGTAACCATAGCATGTTCATCTGAAAGTAAAAAAGTAACCATCGCATGATCATCTGTGAAACTAAGTAACCATAGAATGTTCATCTGTGAAACTAAGTAACCATAGCATGTTCATCTGTGAAACTAAGTAACCATAGCATGTTCATCTGTGAAACTAAGTAACCATAGCATGTTCATCTGTGAAACTAAGTAGCCATAGCGTGTTCATCTGGGAAAGTAAAAAAAGTAACCATAGAATGTTCATCTGTGAAAGTAAAAAAGTAACCATAGCATGTTCATCTGTGAAAGTAAAAAAGTAACAAAAGTATGTTTATCTGTGAAAATAACTAAGTAACTATAGCATGTTCATCTGTGAAACTAACTATTCATAGCATGTTCATCTGTGAAACTAAACAAGTAGCCATTCATGTTCATCTGTGAAACCAACAAGTAGCCATAGCATGTTCATCTGTGAAACCAACAAGTAACCATAGCATGTTCATCTGTGAAACTAAGTAGCCATAGCATGTTCATCTGTGAAACTAAGTAGCCATAGCATGTCCATCTGTGAAACTAAGTAACCTTAGCATGTTCATCTGAGAGACTAAGCAAGTAACAATAGCGTGTTCATCTGGGAAAGTAAAAATGTAACCATAGCATGTTCATCTGTGAAACTAAGTAACCATAGCATGTTCATCTGTGAAACTAAGTAACCATAGCATGTTCATCTGTGAAACTAAGTAACCATAGCATGTTCATCTGTGAAACTAAGTAGCCATAGCGTGTTCATCTGGGAAAGTAAAAAAAGTAACCATAGAATGTTCATCTGTGAAAGTAAAAAAGTAACCATAGCATGTTCATCTGTGAAAGTAAAAAAGTAACAAAAGTATGTTTATCTGTGAAAATAACTAAGTAACTATAGCATGTTCATCTGTGAAACTAACTATTCATAGCATGTTCATCTGTGAAACTAAACAAGTAGCCATTCATGTTCATCTGTGAAACCAACAAGTAGCCATAGCATGTTCATCTGTGAAACCAACAAGTAACCATAGCATGTTCATCTGTGAAACTAAGTAGCCATAGCATGTTCATCTGTGAAACCAATAAGTAGCCATAGTATGTTCATCTGTGAAATCAACAAGAAGCCATAGCATGTTCATCTGTGAAACCAACAAGTAACCATAGCATGTTCATCTGTGAAACTTAGCAAAAAACCGTAGCATGTTCATCTGTGAAAGTAAAAAGGTAACCATAGCATGTTCATATGTGAAACTAAGTAGCCATAGCATGTTCATCTGTGAAAGTAAAAAAGTAAACATAGCATGTTCATCTGTGAAACTAACTAGCCATAGCATGTTCATCTGTGAAACCAACAAGTAGCCATAGCATGTTCATCTGTGAAACCAACAAGTAACCAGAGCATGTTCATCTGTGAAACTATAACAAAGTAACCATAGCATGTTCATCTGTGAAACTAAGTAGCCATAGCATGTTCATCTGTGAAACTAAGTAGCCATAGCATGTTCATCTGTAAAACTTAGTAACCATAGCATGTTCATCTGTGAAAATAAGTAGCCATAGCATGTTTATATGTGAAACCAACAAGTAGCCATAGCATGTTCAGCTGTGAAACTAAGTAGCCATAGCATGTTCATCTGTGAAACTAGTAGCCATAGCATGTTCATCTGTAAAACTAAGTAGCCATAGCATGTTCATCTGTGAAACCAACAAGTAGCCATAGCATGTTCATCTGTGAAACCAACAAGTAACAATAGCATGTTCATCTGTGAAACTATAACAAAGTAACCACAGCATGTTCATCTGTAAAACTAAGTAGCCATAGCATGTTCATCTGTGAAACTAAGTAGCCATAGCATGTTCATCTGTAAAACTAAGTAGCCATAGCATGTTCATCTGTGAAACGAAGAAGCCATAGCATGTTCATCTGTGAAACTAAGTAGCCATAGCATGTTCATCTTTGAAACTAAGTAACCATAGCATGTTCATCTGTAAAACTAAGTAGACATAGCATGTTCATCTGTGAAACGAAGTAGCCATAGCATGTTCATCTGTGAAACTAAGTAACCATAGCATGTTCATCTGTGAAACCAACAAGTAATCATAGCATGTTCATCTGTGAAACCAACAAGTGTCCATAGCATGTTCATCTGTGAAACTAAGTAGCCATAGCATGTTCATCTGTGAAACCAACAAGTAACCATTGCATGTTCATCTGTAAAACTAAGTAGCCATAGCATGTTCATCTGTGAAACCAACAAGTAGCCACAGCATGTTCATCTGTGAAAGTAAAAAAGTAACCATAGCATGTTCATCTGTGAAACTAAGTAGCCATAGCATGTTCATCTGTGAAACCAACAAGTAACCATAGCATGTTCATCTGTGAAACTAAGTAGCCATAGCATGTTCATCTGTGAAACCAACAAGTAGCCATAGCATGTTCATCTGTGAAACTAAGTAGCCATAGCATGTTTATATGTGAAACCAACAAGTAGCCATAGCATGTTCATCTGTGAAACCAACAAGTAACCATAGCATGTTCATCTGTAAAACTAAGTAGCCATAGCATGTTTATATGTGAAACCAACAAGTAGCCATAGCATGTTCATCTGTGAAACCAACAAGTAACCATAGCATGTTCATCTGTGAAACTAACTAAGTAATGTTCATCTAGCTTGCATGTGAGGCATGGTAAACACAAAGATGTTTGATAATCTACGTAAACAGACTCGTCTCGACCAAGCTTGTGTCACGGCCATATCACGCTGTTACTCCTGGGTTGACATACCGCGGCATGCCACGACAGGGCGACGTTGTCACTGGATCCCCAACTACCCCGACAGCGACAGCGTGTAAGTTTAGCAACATAACTCCCGTAGAAGGATCTCCTCATATTTTGTGTTTAAAACGAGCACCCCGCGGTATGCCCTGGTTTCAAACATGGACACATGATATGTGATGTCGTCACAAAGTGGGTAAACATCTACATTCATTTTAGTCTCGACTGCAAGGGAACCCAGGCGACACCAATCGTCTACAGTGTCCTGTAGTGAAGGTAGGTGGTGTTCTTTGATGCTCGTGTTGCGGTATAATTCATTCTACAGTCGACTAAAACTTTATAAAATTGAAGTTTTAAGAATCGATAGTGTAAAATTGACTTTGTATTTAAGAACATATGTCTATATGACAAAGCGGGGCGGTTTGGTAGTCTAGTAGCTAAAGCGTCGGCTCGTCACGTCGAGGACCCGGGTTGGATTCCCAACATGGGTACAATGTGTAAAGCCCATTTTCGGGTGCCCCCGCCGTGATATTGCTGGAATATTGCTAAAAGCGGTTTAAAACAATACTCACTCGATCACTATATGACAATGCTCGTGATGCTAGCTCTTGGGGTTCTTGCAGCATCACGTTGACGACAGATGAATAATGCAATCAAGATGATGTTGGTGCATCTGACACTGTTTACGTTGATGGTCGCCCCATCTGCAGGGGGTCTAACGCAACACAGGGCATCCGTGACCACAGCTGTAACCAGTCCAACTGTGATGACTGAGTGCGGTCTAGTCAAGGGGAGTCTGGAACAAGGCGTCAACGTGTTTAAAGGAATTCCCTACGCAGAACCGCCTGTAAACCAGAACCGGTGGAAGGCCCCAGCACCTCTCAGCAACGTCACGGGCACCTGCTGGTCGGGAACCTATGACGCGACTACATTCGGGGCACAGTGTGCACAACCCATAAATAGTACAGATTTTATACATTGGGTTGGAAAAGAAGATTGTCTATATTTCAATGTCTGGTCGCCATCTTTAGACGTAAGTGACAACCTGCCTGTCATGGCGTGGGTTCACGGCGGCGATCTCGTGTATGGTAATGGCAGCATGCCCGGGTACTCGCCGAGTCCCGAGCTAGCCAAGGATTTACAATTTGTGTTCGTCAGCATGAACTATCGACTCGGACCATTGGGGTTTATGACCCTTGACCTCCTCAGCAAGGCATCGGACACGGGGACATCTGGGAACTACGGTTTCATGGACCAGATTCAGGTCTTGAAGTGGATTCAGTCTAATATCAGGAATTTTGGGGGCGACCCAAACAAGGTAAAGCTTTCCATGATTCACGAAACTGATTCTCCTAACATGTCAAGTGCGTATTTAAATATAATGACATACCCGATCATCCCTATCAAAAGTTATGTGGTACATATAAAATTACGTATTACAATTAAATACACGTGACCTGAAACGGTCCGTCTTGTGATATAGTTAGGCCCTATGTTTCCTTTCAGGTCACACTGTTTGGACAAAGCTCCGGGGGCACCAGCATTTATGCTCTTTTGGCTTCCCCTCTCGCAGTTGGACTATTCCATCGCGCATGGGTAATGAGTGCTTCTGCTGTTCTCAACAAGACGTCGTCGGATGCGTCAAGTGACAATCAGGTGTTCCAGACAGCTTCCGGATGCGCGGACATTCAGTGCCTTCAAAGTCTGAGCGTGGAGAAGATATTCAAAGCCAGTCCCTGGACAGTCTACCCAAACTGGGCGATGTCCGACATTTCTGACCTGCCCGTTAAAGGCGGATTTGACGGTGCTCTGGCTGTCGTTGACGGTAAATATATACAGTACTGGTCGAGGGTATGCACGTATACTTCTGCACATATACACATAGTAACATATGTAAGATAGCTACGCGATAAATCGCAAAGAACAAAGGAGAACGAATGTATGAGGAATTCAGGGATCTATGTATCGTAGCTGAATTTTAAATATACGTGCTGTAATTGGCGTGAAACGTGATTTTCTAAACACTATCCAATATGGCGGAAAGTTCAGTTTCCCAAATGGTGACATTTACGATGGACCTAATTTTCAGAGGTCGTTTTCAGTAATTTTGCTTTGCCTAAAATGACAATGGATGATATCACAGAACAGGGAATTTCAAACAGTATTCAAAACTGTGACGTGAATCTTTGTGGGTGATGTATTTTGAATTCTACACGACTCGAGCACGGGTTGAAGAGGAGGGACATATATATGTCCCTCTGGCATCCTGGGGGTTAACTACACATATACACAGAAATCTTACATACGATCACAAGACTGTTCCTATCTTCCCGGGGCAAGGGAGTTAATTAACTATAAAAGCCACCCTTGCCGAACTAGGCTGGAATTCCGGAGTTACATTTTGGCTGGACTAACGAGTCTATGCATAGTCCAATCAAAATCGCGTGACGAACTAGACACCCGGTTCGTAAACTCTACGGATTTCAACAGATTTCGGTTGACTGTACTCTTATGCTCAAAGCAATAAATACTTCCCCTTTTTACATAGAAACGATTTACAACATCCAGACGTATTCTGGGGCAGTGGGGTGGCCCAGTGGTTAAAGTGTTCGCTCGGCTCGCCAAGGCGCGGATTCTGTTCCCTACATGTGTACAATATGTGAACCCCTTTCATGTGTCCCCTGCCGTGATATTGATGAAATATACTGAACCGAATTAAAAACTTCACAATCCTAAAATTTTAACATTTTGACCAGTTATCATTGTGGGCCCTTATTGTGTATTTAAACAGTAATGGCCACGTATTGTCTTTAGATAACACCCGTTTTTGTGCAGGTGAATCGATCAAAACCATGTGCACAGCACTATAGTGGCAAAAGTGTTTTTTCACGTGCAACTGGTCACGTTGCCATAATACCGCACGTGTTTTCAGCCATACTTGTTAGCAGTCATTAACAAAAAAGGAAAAACACAAGAAAACAAAAGTCTTTACGCCATTTGTCATGCTACGCCTTTCAAATGTGCAACGTGAACGTGCCATCGGCATGTTGCAGACGGGAACGTCCGTAGCTGAAGTCGCAAGGACGATGGGTTGTAGTCGACGGACAGTTTATGATATACAGACGCGTCTACAGCAAACGGGTACCACCGCTGATCGCCCTCAGCCAGGTCGACCACGTGTGACGTCACATGCAGAGGATCGTCAGATTGTCTTACGGCACCTCCGTAACCGATTTTTGACGGCCACATCAACCAGAAATGAACTGTTTAGGGCTAGACTGAGTGCGCAAACTGTTCGAAACCGTCTGAGAACTGCTCACCTTCAAGCACGACGGCCATACTGCGGGCCGATTCTGACTCAATTACACAGACGTCAACGTCAATTGTGGGCACGGCGACACTTACGATGGACTCAGAGGAATTGGAATCAAGTCGTCTTCAGTGATGAATCCCGATTTAATCTTCGATTTGCTGATGATAGGGCGAGTGTGTGGAGGGGCCGTCATGAACGTTACGCCCAGTGTTGTGTACAGGAAGTTGACAGATTTCGAAGCGGAAGTGTCATGGTGTGGGGTGCTTTCTGTGGCAATTCACGTTCCAGGCTTCTTGTCATCCGTGGCAAGCTCAACGCTGCAGCTTACCGCGACCAGGTACAGGCACCAGAACTTCTGCCTTTTATGGCAGCACATGGACCCGGTTTGATCTTCCAACATGACAATGCCAGACCCCACACTGCAATTTTGACAAGGAATTTCCTTCAGAATGCGGGAGTCAACGTCATTGACTGGCCGTCAAGGTCTCCCGACCTCAATCCCATCAAACACGTCTGCGATGTTCTTGGCTGAAGTCTGCGCACTCTCCAGAACCAACCACATAATTCGCAAGATCTTGGCACCATTTTGCAGCAACAATGGCGTCGCCTTCCCAATCATGTGTTCACAAGCATCACAAGGTCCATGCGGAGGCGTTGTGTGGCAGATGTCAACGCACATGGTGGCCATACACGCTACTGAACTTGTGTGCCATCAGATTCTCATGCTTGGGACTTATGATTTAAACTGTTGATGTTATTACCGAATACCGTAGGTGCTTGGAACAAATTATGGTTACCACCGTTAATTAAAATCCGTCTTTGGACATTAATGATTAAAAATTACCTTCGCTGATACATTTGTCCGTCGTATATCATATATGGGATTACTTTTAAAAATGTGAAGTTTTTAATTTGACTCAGTATATTATTAAAAGAGGCGAAAAACTTTACTCTTTTACCAGATAATACATGTGGGAGTTGTCCACCCTTGCAGCCTACTGGCGAATGTGACACGATGGTTATGTCACGTGACATGTTTATGTTGTAGGTCACGTGATCCCTCATTCACCAATGGATGCTTGGCAACAAGGACAGGGTACCGATGTGCCTGTTATCTTCAGTGAGTTTGGTTTGTTTGTTTGTTTGTTTGCTTGTTTTTTAACACCGTACTAAGCTGACGGCGTCTGTAAATATCGAGTCAGGTCTGGGCCAGTCAATCCAGTGATTGAAATCATATGTGCATCATATGGGATACGATGACATGCATCAACCTCGTCAGCGAGCCTGACCACCCGATCCCGTTAGTCACCTTTTACGACAAGCATGGGTTGCTGAAGACCTGATCTGTTAACCGAGTACAGCGTTTGTACATACAGTCTACTTTCAACACCATGACCCCGGACTGTATGTCCTCAACACCCTATTGCTTGTCACAAGGGGCGAGCAAGAGGATCACGTGGTCAGTCAGCTTGACTTGGCTGGGTGGTTGCTGGTATCGAACCCCGAGCACGTTGGTCATCATGTCAACCACAAGTTTGACTGGCCCTAACACCTCGTGCAATCACTCACTTTAGATATCATTTGGTCGCTCACTCGTTCCATGTCAAATGTGTATGTCGAGTAATGTGAAATGTATTAACGAGTTTATTTATTATGCCATGTCGAGGAACTATTTCTAGTACTATGGTACATCTTAACGGTGTTACCTATAAAAGGTGATGTGTGTCATGTAACACTGAGGGTATTTGCGGCAGGTACTATGGCTCAAGAGGCAGACAAATACCATCTAAACATGACCACGTGGGACGAATACAGGTCAGAGGTCACGCGGCAATTGTCCTCGTTTGGAAGTGACATTCCAAACAAACTACTGCAACTTTACCCGGAATCACAATACATCACACCTAAACTTCAGTTGTCGGACTTGATCTCGGACCTGCGTGTCACGTGTCCAATTGACGTAGTAGCCGATGTTGCCGACAGCTATTTCAAGTCGTTGACCTACAGATGTGTGGTCACGCAGTGGCCCTCTCAGCCTGTCCCAGGCCACGGTAGATATTCCTATCACGGATGGGACTCCACAGCTTTTTTCGGAACAATAGATAAATTGATCCCCAAACCTTCCCAGTCTGACCTGGACTTCACTGCCAACTTACGTCGAGAAATATCCGCCTTTGTAAAGACCGGTGAACCAGCCTCCACGACGTGGAAACCGACGAAGATCAGCACAGCCCTGCTGGGGTCGACAACGAATGTGACTAAGTTCTACCACCGAGACCAGTGCACCTTCCTGCTCCGCAACGGCTTCTTCTCCTACGCCTGGATCAACTGACCAGCAAGGTCAAGGCTGTGACAATCCAATATAATGATTAACTACAACGTCATATTAATAGAGGTTATCACGCTTGTGTGTTTGGGGATGGGAAATGTCCTGTATTAGGAATAAACACATTATTTAGCGAGCCTTGGTAAGTGATGTGTCAGTCGGACAGTGACAATGGCCAATATATATAGTTCCAACTGAAACCTGTTTCTTATGCAGTGGCGTGACTACATATATGCAAAACAAAAATTGCCTACACAAACTGTTCCAACTTGCCTTTCTTGGCTGTCCGCTAGAGTAAGTACCCTATATCAAAATGGAAACTACTCTAAGCCTGGTCTATGAGACGTCACGGCTAGAGTCGGAAGTAGTTGACAGTCGGCCTCTCCTGTTATAACGTTACGAAGTCCAGTCTGATGTACACACAGCGACAAAACGGCCAAAGATTCCAAGCCGCAGAGGTCTACATGACTCCACAAGCACAGATATGGAAACTGATACCGCTTGGCACAGGACCATGTAACTAATAGTAATAACAAACAAACTGGCAAGCTTAGACCTCCTCGTTTTTTTTAGTTTGTTTATTATAATTATTAGTTACATGGTCCTGTACGCTTGGCTAGTGTTCTCGCAAAATTGTTTCACATTTCATATCTCCAAAGTTGCCCACTAGTATTAGACTTTTGATAATGATAGCAATTATCTCAGAAGTTTCTCCAGATTCCCGATAGTTGATTCGGACTCGATCGCCGAATGACAAGGGCGACGCCATGTGAGGTGAGGTGAAATTGGGTTTAACGTCGCGTCCAAGATTATTGCACTTATATAGCGACGTGCATGCACGTGTATGTGTGTGTGTGGCTGCTTGTACTAGTCCGGACTGATGCCGATTTATAGTGCTAGCTCACTGAGATACCATGCCGCAGTTTAACATGAATACCCCACTCAGACACAGTATACTGACTCCGAGCCGACCAGTCCTTGTTTTAGCCCCTTAATGCCGAGCGCCAGACAGGGTAACAACAAGTACAATCTTTTAACGTCTTTTTGTATGACGCGGCCCGGGATCGAACCCCGGACCTTCCGCTCTCCGGGCGGACGCTCTACCACAAGACCACGGAGGCGGTCGGCGACGCCATGTCACTTTCCAACCCAACTTTCTGGCTTTCGTGAGATTCCTTTAGTTCTGCTTTGTAGTTGAGAAAGCGAATGACGTCGCGCGATTATTCTATGAATGAAAAAGTAGTTCCGGTGTGACAGAGGTCACGGTTATCCAATCAAAACGAATAAAACGAGGTCAACCCTGTACGACAAACGTGTGACGTACGGATATATAGTATCTTACCACCTGTATCTTCACCACGTGGGTAAAACATGATAAATAGCACACTCCGGCGCCGTGGTGACTCAGCATAACACCACTGCCACAGGCACACTCCGGCGCCGTGGTGACTTACCATAACACCACTGCCACAGGCATACTCCGGCGCTGTGGTGATTTACCATAACACTACTGACACAGGCACACTCCGGCGCCGTGGTGATTTACCATAACACCACTGACACAGGCACACTCCGGCGCCGTGGTGATTTACCATAACACCACTGCCACAGGCACACTCCGGCGCCGTGGTGATTTACCATAACACCACTGACACAGGCACACTCCGGCGCCGTGGTGATTTACCATAACACCACTGACACAGGCTAATTTGCACATCACGTGACCGGACTTTTCTCTTGTTTGTAAACAAACGCGCTTTTTCAGAAATCAGAATAGAACAGACTGATGGAAGTATTTGGGGGTGCCTTATATATTGTTTTGCATAATAATATTGATATGCTACAACTGCGACAGTGAGTTGCATGAAAACACATATTTACATATCAAAGTGACCGTATCGCTAGCTCTCCGTACGGCTTCGATGACAGCACGTGGAGCCGTACAACCAATGTAAACATAGGATAACTACGCAAATGGAAATAGTTGTTCATGATTTAGGATATTTTCTCATTGAGAGTTAACTATTCTATGAAATATGTTTATCTAGATATGTAGACTTGTCAAAAATGAAACAGATGAATAACATATGCACTATCTTGAATGGACTGTGTAAGATGGCGGTGGCCTGTGACAGAGGTACTATGCTGGTCGCATGGAACTCTTGGTAGGAGAGTGGATAAATATACACATGCACAAAAGTTAAGCGCCACCCACCATCTTTGTTTGCTGTTAGTTTTGGCACTTAATGATGACTATTATAACGAGACGTACGATTGTGTCCCAAAGCAAGTTTATCTTATCTTCCAAAAGAATATGAGCTGAATGGAATTTTACCGAAGACCAGAAATTGAAGGATTAGAAAACATTGAAAAAGTTTTTGTCATGTAACTGTCATGATATCAGCAGACCATATCAGGTGTCACATAGACACCCTAGGGAGTGCAGAGTCTATTGCAAGACAGAAACGTCAGTAACGTGTGTATGATCCACGGGCATTGACCACAGCTTCAACCCTACGCCTCATACTCATTACAAGTCGTTGAATGCTTCTCTGAGGCCACCGCACTATTCTTTATGAAGTGCGGCTTCAAGTCCAGCGAGATTTTGAACTGGAGGATCACGATGTCTGATTTTCCGGCCACGAATGTCCCAGAGATGCTCAATCGGATTAAGATCCGGACTACAGGCCGACCAAGGAAGAGTGGCAATAACTTCTTGACGCAAATAAGCCAAAACTGCCCGAGATCTGTGTGGTCTAGCATTGTCGTCCATGTAAACAGGTCTTGTCTGAAGAGGATGGTTGTCAAAATGAGGGACTACCACTGGACGAAGAACGGCATCTTGGTATTGTTGGCCATTCAGGTTTCCACGAATTGTCACCAGCGGAAGTTTGCAGCCGAAGGAAACACAACCCCATATCATGACAGACCCCCCGCCACATGCTAAGGTCTTCTGGATGTTCCTTGGTGCAAAACGAGTGTTACGTTGCCTCCAAACACGTATTCGACCATCAACAGTTCGTAGCGCATTCGACACTCGTCAGACCAATGGATCCTTCTCCAGTTGGCCAAGTTCCATCAACTATGGGCACGACACCATATCAGACGATTCCGCATGTGCCTCTCAGTCAGTTGAGGACGTTTTACTGTTCTTCTGGCGTTATAACCAGCCGCTCTGAGGCGACGCCTTACGGTCATCGTCGAGAGTCCCTGATGGGTAATCCACTGCAGTCTTAAATCTGTTGAAGTGGCAAATGGATTTCGTCGGACTATCCTGAAAAGACGTCTATCCTCTCTGTTAGAGGTCTTTCTTGGCCTACCAGACCTATGCCTGTCATTGACATAATTGGTTTGACCATGTTTGACAATCAAACGAGTGATAACACTGTGATGACGACCCATTTATCTTGTAATGGCCCTGCATGACATGCCGGCATTTTTCATGCCTATCACTTCCCATCTTTCAGCGTTCGTTAACTTTCTCCTCACCATGGCTGATTTTCAACCTCTATTGGAAGGGGAATCTCACACAGGAGCAAAATGCAGCCACGTGTCTGAAACTTGAATTTCACTATTTATAGGGTAGGGGAACTGTAGCAACACGTAAAGCACGCTTTCCCTTTGGTATCTGGACATTTCTGATTCCCACACGTGAAATCAAGAGACTATAAATATGGTGGCGCTTACCTTTTGTGCATGTGTATAGATGAAACTGTTCAGTTTGAGAGTTGTGTTGTCTAGATGTCCATGCAGACATAGGTCAACTTGATCTTGACAAGAATCGATCTTCATTGACCAAATTTAGGCAAAAGTAGTTTAAAGTACCTTGTAAACAATAGTTCCATAGCAGCCAACTCGGTTATTATTACTTACTCAGCGCAGTGATCACGTGGCACGGACTGGGGCGGTATTCCAGGTGATAGCGTTGACAAATGTAGAATACAAAAAAACTCATTTTGAGAAAACAAGTTCGATGAAGAGCAGAAATGGTCAGTATTAATGAGATTAACGGTCAGTGATAACAATACGATTGGGTTCTTACCGTACCACTCGTACCAATTCAACAAACACAACAGACTAGGATACTATGAGGCCAGTGGTGACATAAACACAAACATTCCTATGCTTCTGCTAAAAACCTTTGCCTTTTACATATAATCTCAACTGTCACTTTCAGCCACTATTTAGGTCTTTGTAGCACAACACACAGTAGCTGAACAACCCCATCTTCCCGTGGCAAGGTAGGTAACTGACGGTAAAAGTCCAGTTTCCAACCTTGCCGAACTAGGCTGGATTTTTCTGGGTTCGATCAAGAGCCACCACTGGCTACTACGAGTTATGCCCCTTATATGTCCCTCATCTTGACCAATCAAATTCCACCTCTCATGTCACATGCATTTGCTTCAAACAAAATGAATATGTCCCTCATCTTGACCAATCAAATTCCATCTCTCATGTCATGCATTTGCTTCAAACAAAATGGCGGCACCCAGTCAAGACGATCTGATCGATAATTAAAATCTGTATCGTGATAAAACGGGTGTTACTTTGCAAAGTGCATCAAATCAGACTCGTTAGTCCAGCAAAAATATAACGCTTTAATTCCAGCCTAGTTCGGCAGGGGTAGAAACTGTACTTTTATAGTCGGTTAACTCCCTTCCCCTGGGAAGATGGAACAACCTTGCCAGATTGAATGTTCCTGGCAAATAATGCTGCTTCATTCCAACACCTAATTCAATAATTTGCTTGTTTGTTTGTTGTTTAACGCCGCACTCAGCAATATACCAACTACATGACGGTGGTCTGTAAATAATCGAGTCAGGACCAGACAATCCAGTGATTCACATCATGACCATTGATCCACACAATTGGGATAAGATGACATGCATCCGAGCCTGACCACCCTATCCAGTTAGTCGCCTGTTACTTATGGGAAGCATGGGTTGCTGAAGACCTGTTCTACCCCAGATATTCACCGGTCACCGTTTTCCCTACGGCTGAGCTGGCATAACGCCACACTCAGCAATATTCCAGCTACAGCATATACATATATAGCCTGAACAAGACAGACCATATTGCCCTTATTTAGATTGTGTGTATTTACTATTCAAGAATGGGAATGTCTAACTCTCAAGT